AGCCAAACAAACGAAATAATAATTATGACATTTCGAAAGACGAACGTATAGTTTATTCGGTGCTACTAAATTCAGATCGCGGGAATTAAGATCGTGCATAAAAACTACCCCGTAAATAGTGTTCTAATTTACAGCGTGAAAAACAGACTCACGTATAAATGTGCCGCGTAAATCGAAGGCCAAGTGTATCTTCCGTTTAAGAGCTAAACAAGGGACGATCTGCTTGCAACAGCGTGCATGCACTCTTTTGTCCCGATCTGGCGAGCGTTCTTTATCGCCTCGAAACTAATCGGATTGCTTCTCGTTGATGGTAATAGGTACTCGACACGGAACGCAACTACAATACCGCTGCTATTTACCTTGCGCAATCGTCGTCGACGCAACGTTTCGAAACCAATCAACTGTTTTACGTCTGGTACCGACACACAATTTACTCCGTTCCGACGCTCCTTACCTCCGTGTCCCTCCAGCGCCTCACCCATTAAAAACCTGTCGTTTCATTTGCATCGGTACACCTTGTAACGGAATACTGGAAATTTACAAGCGCCCCGCCGTGTTCCACGGATTTTCATCGGTTTCCCATGTTCATGAAAGTTCCGTGCGGATATTAGCTTTAATACCAGCGTCTCTAGGTTTTTTGTATTTTTACTGGTGGTTACTGACTGCTTCGACAGCTTTAATTTTTTACTGACGAGTCACATTACTGATTATCATAGTACATTCGAGATCACGGATTATTTCCTAAAGGGCGCTTAATTATATGGACCATCATCATTTTCTAACTGAAAGTCGTGCTGGTCAGTCGTTTGAGTTTGATCCAGGTTAATATTTATTTAATACCGTAACACATTATTAATATTTTATTATTATCTTTTTCCGTTTCGGTTTCTCGGTTTTCGTATGGGGTTCATATTTTTGTTGGAGGATTCAGGAATTTTCTTATTATTATGCGTATTTCTATTGCTACTGCTCTTTGTATTATGCTTTATATGTTTGGCTTGATTCTTACTTTTTTAATATTTTCTGTGAGGAATTTTAACGTAACTCCTGTTGTTTATACGACTATTGGTATTACTTTGATGTGTCCTTGTCTCTATATTTCTTTAATCTCTACAGCTAGTGGGGTGTATTTTTCGATTTTTCCTTTTCTTTTGTTTTTATATTTGCGTCATTGGAGATTGTTATGTCTATGAGGTATGTGGTTTTTGTTTCTTTGCTGTGCATGTTATATCTGGTCTGTTGTGTGCTATTGTTCTGTCTATGTGCAGTGTTGTGTCTCAGTATATTTTTGCTGTCTGGCTCTCCAGTATTGTTTCTGGTCTGTATTTGAAGTATGGCGTAGTTTGTATAATTAGGTCACGTTTTCGTGCTATTTCTTGGTGTATTATTTTTGGTATTGTGTTGTGTCTATGTGTTTAATCAGTTACAGCTGGCAATTTGCATCCACTTGTGACGTGGTCTATCGTTTACATGAATATGGATATTTTATTATTATTATTATTGCTATTCTTATTAATATTTTATTCCTTGAAAACAAAGACAGTCAGTATAGTACGTAAGTGCCTTTTAAAGTCTATAGCTGAATACCGCAAGGGTCTGCTATTCAAAAGTGTATTGAATAAAAAATTTATGTAATATGATAGAATCATGTTATCATGTTGAAATGACGTAGAATTAAGTGATCGATACTCTCCTGAACAAATTGAGAATTACGTAGGATTAAATGACTGCCACTTTTCTAAACAAATTATGAATTATGTAAGACTACGTTATTGGTACCAAGATAAAGAATTTTAAATAACGCAGGATTATGTCACGAACATGTTAACACATTTGGTACAGATGAAAACTATTTAGTTCCCGAAGCGAGTGAATTCCAATTTTTTATTGTAACTTTCAACTGTAGTTCTCAAGGCAATACCATAATTGCCAAAGTAACACTGTAGTTACAAAAGCTACAGTTTCCAAAGTGTTCGCAGGATTAGCTGTCGGGAACTACAATTTCCATCTATACCTAATTATGTTAAGAAAGAAACAAATGAAAAATATTTTAAAATATTAACACATTACACGTGTTAACAATGGCCAATATATCATTACTTAATCTCCTTTCTAAGATTAAATACATGCAATTCACGACAAAACTTTCTTCCAACCTAATAAAAGGCAGCCTATGGCACTCAGGAAATCATAAACTACATTTCTGGATAAGTTTCATTGAAATCTATCCAGTAGCTGTGAGATTTTCTCAAACAAACGAGCAAACTTTCTCTCTTTATAATGTTAGCATCGATATTCGCGCCGGAACAAATTTTTCAACGATAAATCAGAAATTCTGTGCTCTGCTCTCTTCGTTTTCTTCCTGTTTTTTCGACGATTAGGAATATTCAGCAGAGAGATGAGGAACGGGGCGCTCTCTTTTAATTGCAATCCTGTGTTCCGTCGATATTCCTTTGTTCCGTCGACGCGAAATTTCACGAAAAAACAAATTTCCACACCGCGGTGAACGAAGTTTGTCGAAGTATCGTTACTCCGCGGGAACAAATTTGTGAAAATGGCTATCGCATGGTTTTAATATCTTTGGATTCTTTGTTTTCGATATTGTCTTTTACAGACCGCGGATGTTACGGATTTGTAACGTATTCAATCATTTATTATTCCGTTTTGTGAAACGACAAACATACTGCTTTTTTCAATTTTATTTCCGCAGGATAAATTAATTTCAATTTGATTTGAGTTTCTATACATAAATTATTCCATTCAATTATTTTATGCATAAATATTGATTCAATAATTATGCAAATAACATAGCTGAACTTTATTCTTTTTATATAAAAGTGAACGAAAAAAGGAGAATATAATTTTCTCATACAAGACCTAACAAAAATTTTATAATATCGTTTCCTTTCGCGTTTCATAACAGTCGACCGAATATTACGTAGACTGTTATCATTAATCACAGCGCGCAATGAACTGAATGAAATTAAGCAATATTAAACGAGAAACAGAAGCGTATAGATATTACGAAATATCCACGTATAATTACATGATTTGATTCCATCGTGCCGCCAGTGATTCGTGTTCCGCGCGAGGACGCGAAATGAAATAACAATGAGTTTGAATGAAAGAAGAAAAAGGAAGAAAAACGGAAAAGGTACTCGGAAACCATTCTCGAAATAACTTTTCAGAGTCGGGCGAAAAATCGTCATGATTTTTTAACGCGTTTCCGGTGTTCTAGGGTCGAGGCTCGCTCGAGCTACGTACTTTCAAGAATATGTCGCTCGCGAGGGCAAATTGTACGTCCGATGCAGCTGTAAAATAGTTGATTGGTTTCGGAATGCTGCTGTCGGAACTAGCAAGGGATTCCCCTCCCACTACCCTGCCGTTCCAGATTGCTTTTGTTCGTACGTTTCATTTATAAGTTTTCATTCGCAAGTTTCAGGAAAGGTTGGTCCTCTTATTAGGCTGTAATGTACGGGAAGACCTGGGCCCTCTCCTTTGTGGTAAATATGTCCCTCTTTTTGGTAGAAATAATTTCGTTGCTTCTTATCGGGTTGATGCAATAATTTTAACGTTTACCCGGAGCCAGTGAGAATATCACTAGATTTATTTTTCTCTTCGAAATCACAATATTTTTGCAACGATGGAATAAGTAAGCTCGTAGAAGGATTGGAGAGAGTAAAAGCAATCAATGTAAATTATATAACAGATTAAGTCAATACAAATTTTGAAAAGCCTTTCGTTTTGTTTCTTATAAAATGACGTCGAAACTTTTGCATCAATCCAATGTTTCATTAGGAAAGACGTGTAAGTATTTCTTAGTGGAAGAATTACTAGATGTTAGTAAGAAATCTGAATTGTTCATTTCAAGGCAAACAATTTAAAAAACAAATCTCTTTTCTACACCCCCTAGTTTTAGAAATATTAAATTTTTTCTTGAGAACTACGTCACGCATAAGTTTTATCGAAATCGGTGTGTGCTGGTTGAAAAGGCTCCGCCGCGAAGAAGACAGAATGGCTGAACGAATATTTCATACGTTCGAATCTAATATTCACAGCCCTCGGTATTGGACATTCCAGTCTGGCAGCGGGCGTCGACGATTGTGCCGATTCGCAACGTATTGATACGCACGTGCGTCCGATTATTACCACACGGGCTTGGAATCAACGGTAGAAATATTTCTGGCTTTCGGTCGGACTCGTTTCGAGCGAACGGGTTCGAATTCGAACGTGAACGAGCCCCTTTTTGTATTCGTATCTCGTTAGGGAACGAAAAGCGCCGAACAAGATCAGCGGTGTGTGACTCGATGATGCGCTGCGCAGAAAACCATACAGGGAAATGCGGTGCGTTGGACAAGAGCAGCTTGATACCAATTGTTGTTCCGCCGGGTTCCGTTATACGTATAATGCCCATTGAGACGTAAATTTGTCAAATTTTCGAGGCGCATTTTATGAATAGACTATTCGATCCTCTATAAGCAGACATTTCAGAGAATCTATAATGCACTCCCGGCAGTAACGTTATTACTTCTATCTTCGAATTGATTTTGTTAGGATCACTTTAGTAATAGAATTAATGTCTTAATATGATCATACGAACGATAAATTAACTTATATCAAGCAATGAAATTTTAATGTAACTGAAGTCACATTAATTTGAAGTATATGGGTTCTTATTGCTTTCTGTTGTAATTAGAGTTTTAAAGGAGCAATTTTCTTAAATTTATTAGATACATTTTTTAAGCGATTCTTTTTAAATGCGTGAAAGATATTTAATGGTAGATTGCTTGTTATTAATTGGGAATGTATATACAATAATATTTTAGTTATTATATTGCATTGATATTCCTATCTAAAACTTTATATTAATTATTTTAATTATACTATTATTTTTTACACACTTACGTAATGAGAAGGAATTAGTTTATAATTTGTTAAATGTAATGTTAATAACCTAATATAAATAGTAAACAACTTCTTTAAAATGTGTTATATCGTACCTCGTATAGCAGCCTCATCATCGATTTGAAATTTTAGAATGCTGCCTCTTCTAGAAAATCTCAGCGTGTGCCACATGTCATCGTTCAAACCTTGTCCGGCTACCAGAATCTGTAATCAAAATTATTATATTGTTGTAATTAGACGAGTAAACCTTTAACGCATAAAATTTGTAATGACTGCGTATTATACTGATAATAATTTTACTGTATTGATTATTCTGCTGATAACAAAAATAAAGATATAGATACTTTATCTCAAAAGTTATCAAATTAAATTAATAATTATATTACATTAAAAATTACATTAACAATTATATTTGCAGTTTTTAATGTTCTATCGTACAATTTGTTACGCTTTTACAAAAATTGCTCAAAATTATCGTGGATATTAATTTTTTGCGCACTCTCACGTCGATGTGTGCTTTGGAAATAAAGAATTTGCGCAAAAATATTTCAATATAAGGTTCGAATAAACGCATACCTTTCGGTTGTTACCGTAAAGGGTAATAAGGATGAAAAATGTCTTGGTGCCATTTTTCATCATTCTCTTAGAGCTATACGCCGACTACTAATATGTCTGGACACAGAGATCTCAGTTTCGAGTTAAAACTCAACGATTAGGACGGTTTTACGGTTTACGTTCGCAGAGAAACAAGATTGATTACGCGTTTCAGGATGCAGCCGCTCGCCGCCAACTCAAACGCCAAGGAAATTTGCGCCACGGCGCAATGAAAGCGCCTCGGGTGGAAACGCGCCGATTGAATTACATCGCGCGGATGCAATAATGGATACTTAAGCGCGAGCAATTAGCGGGAACTGGCCGCTACCAGTGCTTGCCATTAGGGGAACACAACGAGGCCAGTTTCGGGCGGTTTAATGAAGACACGGCCTGCCTGCGGACTAAAGTTACAAGAGATGAGTGTGTTGGTTACTCATGAATTAGGAAAACTTCCAAGAATTTATGATTTCCTTTGATGTGTTTTTGATGGTTCGCGAGTTGGTTACGTTTCCTGCGCTTCAGTATGAATAGCCAAAATATCGCCGTTATTCCTTTAGGTTCTAAATAAAAGATTTTAGAAAAAAATACATTTATTTTCACAATACGCGGTAACTAACCTGTTATTTTTAACAAAATAAATATATTTATAAAGAATGCTATTTTAGCCTTTTGCACTTGTATATCGTGCTGGAGATGACAATACAAATTTGTTATGGAACGTTGGAAATTGTTTTAAAAAATACTACACTTTAAAAGATTATAAAAATTATATCTTATTATAGCAATAATGAGTAAAATAAATATAAAACATTGAATTCTAATGCTATAAATTACTTTAATTCATTTCCCTAAAAATAAATACAAGTTTGCACCCAATAACATTGAAAATAAATTGAGTGCAAAGGATTAATTGTTAGAAGGATAGATGGCTATTACTATATCAATTTTATACTGGTGGTTTCGTTGCTAGTCCACTAGTTCGCATTTTACTGATGTTGAAATATGTGATTCCAAGGCGATGCCACTGGAAACTACAGGGTTAAGTCCTTGTCTTATGAGCTCTTTCACAATTGTGTTCGATGAAATTACTTTATCGTTAATGGTTTATTAGAAAAAGAAGATTAATTATTATTATTTATTATTATTTGTTATTATTTATTATTATTTATTATTATTATTTAGATTGAAAAGCAATATTTAATTTATATTAATAAAAAGCGAATAACATTTAGAATTGCTGAATTTATTTAGTTGGTTTTAATAAATTGTCCCTTGCTAGAAATTTGAAAACATTTACTTATTCTTTTATTTACCTCTAATTATCGTACTTTTGTAACTTGGAATATTTTCTTAACAACAAAGGTTGAAGAACGTGTATAGAAAATGGTGTACCAAATAGCGCTGATGTATGAAAGGTATCATAAAATATTGAAAGAAATAAATTAGTTTGCGCATTGAAAAACATTCTCCGTACATAACAGTTCGTACTAGTTCACGTTTTGGTAACACGAAATCTCGAAACGAACACGTGATTTTTTAACGACAGAATTGCACGGCGGTGTATCTTGATATATCCGCAGTTAACTGTTTCAGAAACACAGAGCCATCGATAAACTAACAACGCACTACCTGTCTCGTATGGTTAAACTACCATAAATCCCTGGAACTCGTCACTATCTGCTAACTGGCTTCACCCTCGGAGTTGCGAGTGATATTCATTTATCACGTGGCACCTGACACACGTTTGTCATCTAACGTCACCTTTGCACCGCTGCCATTACTCGTGCGTTCTACGGTGAAATATAAGAGATGTTTTTTGCCGATGTCGAGTTCTCTGTTATAATTGTAATTTCAGTGTTCGAATAAGTAAATGTTTAATTAATTTTCGGACTAATTGTATGACAGGAAAATATTATTGTAAAATTTTTGTTATTTCAAAATTAAAAATTTATAAGGTAACAATACTTAGTGTAATAGAGAGCACATCCAGAGTTTTTATAACAGTAAACGCAATAGGTATGATTCATTTTGTTCTATAAAAACGAAACAATAAAACTACAATAAGTAATTAGAAAATAATAAAACCTACAGAACCCTAAGAATATATAATAATTAAAGAACCAAATAAATAAAAATATTATAGAAACTAAGGAGGGCTTGAGATTAATATACTACAAGATGATCACTGCATATCATTTCTGTTTGTTTTCCATTCTCCATTATCTATTCTGACTGCTTTCAACTACTTTACATACCTCAGAATCTTACGCTGAAGGAGAGAACACATCTCAAACAGAGAGTGATTTTAGAGAACCTATCAATTAGTCTGGTGGTAGTGTCAAAGGACGTGTTAGACGGAAACAGTTCTGAGAGAAACAATCTCGAGTTAGAATAATGCAAGGTGAAGTCAGCAATACGTGAATACCTCGGAGGTCACCGACATAATTTATTAAATAAATCATTTTCCATAACAAAATTTGTCTTTCTCATTGAACAAAAATATTCTAATACAATTATTTATATAATAACACCATTTATTCAAAAATCCGATTTCCTTTTAACTTTCCACATTTACGGAAGACATCAATAAATACATATGAATGATTCAGAATAACAGTCTAACTCTTGCTTCCAAACCTTCGAGAAAAGAAAGCTTTTGTAAAATATTCTTGACTCAATTAAGTACAAAAATTACAATATCACTAATAACATTAATCCCTATATTAATATCAGCAATGAAAATATCAATATCTACAATGTAATTAATAATATCAATTATCATTCAATTAACCCAAGAAAACTTGTCAAAATCATATTCTCAAGAACCCAGAAACACCAGTTAAACTATAATTTCGAGTCGCTCGCATAAAAGATGGTTATTTCCCCCAAACAAACATTCAAAACATCCCCGACAGACAATCAATCGTCAGCTGGCTCGAAAATCACGCTAACACGACTAACATTCTCCCCGTTGTTTCACTCGTAACGGGGGTTCGTTCGATCCGCGTTGACACCGGCCGTAACACGGCGCGGCAAATAGCTGATCGTTCAGCGGAATGCGGCAAAAAGGTTGCCGTCTGGAATCGATAACGCCATCACACCACGCGCCGCGATTGAACGCTTTATGCAGCTGCGATTTCCTGCTTCGCGTCGCGTCGTGCCCTGCGATCAATTCGATAAAACCCGATCGGGGTTCAAGCACTACGACAAAACGTCCCTTAATTGCCAGATTGATTCGCGGCTAGCAGCCAGAGACGCGCGATTAGTCGACCGTGAGTCGGCGATAAAGTCCCTTCCTTCTCTCCTCCTTGCCCCTGCCCGGTAAAGGGGTGGTGGCCGGGGAACCGTAATATCCGCCTACTGATAGACTTTCTGTGTAATTTCACCTCGGCCGTGGTAAGAGCGCTTTCCGGCGCGCCTCCTGTGAACGTTTTCTCACTCGATGGCTACGTCCGATTTCCACGCGAAGCCTTCGGCATTCAAAGTAACCCAGCCGTTCGGCCAGAGAGATCTCGCGCTCGATCTCCCGTTTGATCGAAATCGACAACAAAAGAATACGCTTTTCGGTTTTCGTTTTTTTATTATTACAATTCTGCAAAGGTTGGAGGGTGGTTTTGGGGAAAGTATTTGACAAGCGTGGGTTTTTCGTGGGTATGACATCCTGCTCCACTGAACATTCTATACATTCATAATAACTATTATTATTATTATTATTATTATTGATAACACACCCATCATGACATATACCATGCCTGCGTACATCTGAAAACTCGTTTATCACCACCTGTATCTAAAGACAACGATTGTTCATACTCCATTAACATTATAACTGTGTTTACTTATAAACTGCGTAAATATTTTGTGCATCTGATAAAGTTTAAAGATACAATAGTTGACAGTCCGACGTCTAGATTCTTAGTTATTTCAATCCCCAACGTGAATCAAGGCCAAATGTTTTCTCCTCTTTACTACTAAATTCACCTTTTTCCGAATTTTCCTAAATTCCATTAACCAAGAGGAAGAGCAAAATTATTCTAACCACGCAACCGTCAACAACAAATCAAAACCTCTACCACGTTTTTCCAATTCAGACTGGCCATCGTCTGACTCAATAAAAACACAAACCCTAAATAACTTTCCTCCGAGTATCCGAACAAGATTCTACTCTCTTTTTCGAGAGTATTCTCCTCGCGTGTTGTGGCAACATAACAGTGGGTATAGATTGTTTTGAAAGGGTGAAATCAACTGGAGTTACGGGTTGGAGCGTTAGGTGTGAGAACTATTTTTGTTTTTCAGGATTTTATTGATTATTTGAAAGAATGACCTACTTTTTGTAAGAGAAATATTTGTGGTTGTTTTAGGGTGACTTTGTTTTATTTCTGGAGTGAGTATGAGAAACTTTAACCCTTGGCTGACGAGCATATTTTAAAATTTTAGAAATTCTTTCTACAAAGAAATTGAAAATGCATTTAAATCTTAAATGCTGGAAAAGAAGAAAACCACATATCAATCTCTCGTTATTTGAATAATGAAATCATTTATTTGTAGCTTTCGATTTCAGAAATGGCGACTCGAAGTCGTCATTAGGGCAGCATTCGACCGTAAAGGGT